TTTTTTTTTTTTTTTTATGCGGGGGATTGAATTTGGGACCTTGCACTCGGGAGGCAGGCGTGGTGTCACTGAGCTACATCCCCAGCCCTGAAGCTCCTTATTGAGCAGGCCCTCTAAGGATCCGGTCGTAAAACTTCCAGGAAGTGAAATCAACTTTTAGTGCCAAGAACCCCAGTGGTGTGGAAGTCCTCCCTTGTGTCCAGCCGCATTACACCTGCTTCTCTGAGCACCCGTTTTTCTCTTCCTCTACACCCTTTCTGTCTTCCTGCACAGGGAGTCTTGGGGTTGGGGTGTCGGTGAACATAGCTCAGAGAAAAGCTGAGTGCCACATGCAGCATTCTGAACTGTGTCTACCTGGGCACCTGCCTGCTGTAATTAAGTCTTAGCATGCCGCTCCCGGAGGCTCAGAGATAATTGCTCTTCCTGGAGAAAGACCAGGCAGTCTTCATGTCTCTGGTGGTTTTTATGGCCCCTGCACTGAGAGAGCGTGGTCAGCTCAGGGTGGAAGGGACGCTAGGGAGGCACTGGAGGACAGCGCGAGCGCCACCTGCAGGCGAGGTCAGGTGCACAGCTGGCCTAGCCGGACAGCGGGACTGGGTGCCTGGCGTTGCTCCTTCCCTGGTGTGGCCTCCTTTGGCTGTCCTGCTGCTGAGTCGCGTGTCTGTAGGGGCCGCTCACCGTGCCTGTTTTAAGCCAGGAATGGGGAAAGACCGCGGCATTAAGAGATGTGGGGCGCCGCAGGAGAAGACTCACTTCAGCTTCTTGAACTTTCCTCGAAGGGAAGGGTGTTTTCCTCCGGAGAGTCATCTGGCTGATGGATCTGGCTGGGTTCCCGAGCCTTCACCCTTCCAGCACCCCAGATGTGTTTTCCCTTCCTCTCATACCAAGGAGCCCACAGACCCTGGGCCTGGCAGTGTCTGGCACAAGAGAAATTGGTGGTGAATTTGGAAGTGTTCCGAGGCATGTTTTCTTTTTAATTAAATTTTATTTTTCCTGCTTTATTGAGGCGTAATTGGCAAAGAAAAATGGTATCTTTTCAGGATGTACACTGTAACAATTTGGTATCATATGCATTGTGTGACATTTCCTTTTGTCAAATTAATCAGCGTATCCCCCACTGCACATCCTACCCTGTGTAAAGGGGGCAGGGTGAAGGCATCTAGTGCAGGTCAGGGATCTCAGCGCTGGAGCACGGGGCTTTCTCGCTCCAAAACAAATGGGACAGAGTCCTTCCACAGAACCTTTCCTGTGGTCTTGTTTTGTTTTGTTTTTGTTTTTTGGTGGGGTTTTGCTGTGTAGTCCAGGTTGGCCTTGAGATTGCAGTGATGCTCCTGCCTCAGCCTCCCGAGTGCTGAGATTGCAGGCATGTGCATGCCTGGCTGCCTTCCCATGGTCTTACCCATGCCCTCCTTTCAGGGAGCCTTTCTTTTTACTGGGGTTCATAGCATCTTGGAGCACTTGGTTCAAGTGGGAAACGTTCACAACTTCACACACACACAGATGGAAACACAGCTCACATGCACAGCTTTTGGCAAGGTGTCCATGGGCAGTGGTGCCTTGCTCTTACCTTCCTTGGAAATTGAGAATGAAATTGAGCCTGAGGCCTTGTCTCCAGGAGGGAGGTCTCCTGGTGCCACATGGCCGCCTTCCCTGTCCACAGGTCAAGAGTTGGGGCTGCTTGGGCGGGGACCTCGGCTGGAGTCCACAGCTGTGGTCTGCAGGTGGACTTTGGACCTGTGGTTTTCCCCGAACCGTCACTCTTTTCCCAGCCTTCCTGGGGGCTGCGGTCTGCCATCAGGAGGTGACGTTCTCGGTGACGTTCGCTCAGCTGTGACTGTAAACGTAGTATCTTTTGGAGACAGCATTGATCAGGGCTGTGGTGCTCAGAAGCAGGGGCCTGGGGCAAAGGTGAATGAGACAGTGTGTCAGAGACCATAGCCTGGCGCTCCAGGTGCTGTCCTGGTGACAGGGATGGCAGAACCAGAGGTAAGGGAGGAGCAGGAGGTAAGAAAGCGTCGAACTCAAACCCTTTCACCAACACAAAGGGCTCACTGAACTCTGTGGCTCACCGCATAATAGCAAGTGGTTTTTGCGTTCCAAGTTCTACAGAGAAGGAAAAGTCGGAATTCTCTGCTCCCCTTCTCAAGGTTGGGGCCAGGACTGGCGTGGGCATCCCTGGCCCAGTAGCCTTTCATTTACAGGACGTTGGCCAGACCCTCACATGCTCCAGGGCCGCCCTCCACAGCCCTGCTCTCTCGTTCACCTGTGCATTCATGTGGCAAGTGCTCTATGCAGACTACTGTGGTGAAGAAACAGACAGACTGTACCTATCCTTGCAGCCCTTACAGTGCAAGGGAAGCAAGATATTAAACAGAAGAATCACGCAGTGGATTATTTAATTACAGCGGTGGTAATTGGCATGAAGAAATGCTAAACGCTCTGAGGGTTTCTGGTGGGGATGTGGGTGCATGGCCACCATGACCCCTGGGCTGTGGAGGGGACACAGACATTCCTGGCCCTTCTCCGGGGGTGTCAGGCCTGCATGGGAACACCTGGAACTCACACGCAACATCTCACTGGCGGGGCCCGGTCCTTGAGAAGAGCTCTGAGCTTAGAGACAGCTCTGGATTATAAAGAGAACTGGAATTTCTGGCTCTGCTTCTAGCCCACAGGAGAACTTGAGTTCATCATGGCTCTTTGTATCTGTTCTTTTCCCCCATAAAGTGAGATCTGACTAGACAATCCCTGATGTCCCTTACCAGTGTCCCAGCAAATATCAGAGGTTTCCAGGGGACAAAATACAAGTCTTCACCTGGAAACTCAGAAAAGAGACTGGGATCAGGATTCTCCAGCCCTTACCCAGAGAGAAGGGAGAGGGTGGAGCACAAGCCCAGAGTTGGAGGCTTGTAGCCCTTGACAGCACAGAAAGGGGTGAGGGGATGGCAGTGTGTCCCAGAGGGTTGCTGCTGTGGCACTGAGAGCAGTGGAGAAAACTGCAGCTTGCAGAGTACAGGGCAGATACTGGGTAGGACTTCTTCCTCATAGCACTAAGGCCTCTGGCAGGTGATCAAAGGGGATGAAAGGAGAGTGTCGTATAGATGTTCCCAAACAGCACAGCGAAAGCTTTCCAGAGGGAGGCGGGGGGACAGATGACCTTCCAAGGTCTCTTCCTCAGACAGGTCCATGAATCTTCTCGCTGTCTGGGTGTCTGCAAGAGGAAGATGTCAGGTCCTGTTCAAAAGGAATTTTGGAGCATAAACTATCCCTGATTCGTGTCTCTATGACACATGTGGCTAACTGCTGTCGTCTCACTGTCAGACCGAGTCCAGTTACACCTTTGCTCTCTTGTCCTGCTGTAATAAAAACATGGCTTCTGAGAAGTGTATTCGTTGCTGGCAACATGAGCTCTGAGAGCCTGGCCTTGGGGGCTACAGGAGGCCCGGGAGCTTCATTGTTCAGCCTCAGAGACAAGGTCTGAAGGTGGGC